AATTTTTATCAGGTTTTACACCCAACTCATTTTCACTGAGGGCCACATAGGCAGGGTGGCCCTCCAAGGGCCAGTTGTAATTAACTTAAACGCAAAACATGAAACATCACATTGCTACAACTGAGCCGCTAACAATAACTGAGCTCTATGTGGTTTTTCCTGCATAGAAACAGCATTTTGACACGTCCTCTTGTAAACACTGAAGTATACTACAAATACGACTGACTAAATGTGAACTAAACAAAACACAACTCTCCCATTTTCCCACAGGGAATTCCCTCTAGAGTGGCCTTCTGGTTTAAATTTACAACCGCTGCTGGGCCGCAGTAAAAATGCAGCCAAATGAATATTTTGCACAGTGAATTGTGCCGGCTGCTTTTCCCAGCACYTCCACCTTGTTTTAGGACACCCATCCTTTTGCTGGTAAAATAAATCAATATAAATTAAGAAGAAAAAAATTGTATAGGTCTTCTGGACGGGTTCTTCTCTAATGAAACGTTTCGTCTCTCCTCCAAGAGACTTCTTCAGTCTGAGAGTTTCAGGCAAAATTCAGGCTTTTAAGCCCTGCCTCCATGTGACTGATACTCACATCACATGGCTATCGTTGACACCTAATTAACACCTATTGTTAACGGGGTGGAGTGATACTGGCAATAGCAGCACTGTAGGAGGGGGACAACTGAAAACGGAGGCCTCCACCTCTGTTTAATGATGGACGGTCTTTCTTCACAAAAATGGCTTCTTTTACTCCTCTCTCAAACCAACGTTCCTCTGGTGTCTGTAAGGAGCAATTTAACAGTTTATGTTGGTTTTTTGTGCCCTTCTTACAGTTCATCAAAATCTCGTAAATGGACACACTTCATGAAATGTTTGTTGCCTGATAAACCACGAGCTTTCTGTCCGTCCCATGTGACGTCATTTCTTTCCTGTTGTTGTTGTTGTTTCCTGGTCACCGTGTGACTTCCAGTGCTATCTTTGGCCAAAGCTCAGCGTGGCAGTAATGACATCATCCCATACATCATGCATCCCCCTCCTGCCAGCCCAGCAGGGTGAAACAAACTCAGGTACAGGGTGACTAACACAAACACACACACCAGGTCATCTGAGGATCAGAGTTTTCATGTGCCTGGTCGAACTTGTTTCAGATGAAAGTTTGTGAGTCAGATTGACAAAACCTGACTGTGTGATCACATCTTTAATACACTCACACACACACATGTTGAGATGTGTTGTGAACCGAGCTTGAATCATTTCCTCCAGTTTGAGCACGTGACTTCTTGGTTCAAATAAACATTCATATTTTCACCATTTTGGATGTTTTCAGTTTTCATCCTCGAGACCGAAGTGTCTCATATGTTTGAGTGTAGCTAAAACACAAAAATGGCAGCACCATTTAGTGACCTGGCATGAGCACTGCGTTAACAAGTAAATGTGAAATGTTCCCAAAATCAACTATGGAAAAACTGATGTTTCCAGGGTTAGTTTGTGAGTAAACTATTTACTCTTAAACGTACAGAAATATCAGGACTAGACACAGGACCAGAAACCAAAAGTTGAAGTCATGACGGACTAGCGCCCCCTGTAGCCTGGCTCCCGTTCAGTTTTTAAGCCCCACCCCTTCATGAAAAAAACAAAATGGGATATTTTCCTGAATAAAGAAAACTTTTAAAATGTTTTTTTAATTAGGCTGCAGTATTCATTTTTTTCTTTAAGTAGTTATTTGAGGCGTTAAGAACAGGTTCATATGATTGTGATTGCAGATGTTGGGAGGCAGGACTTTCAGTGCATCAACTTCACAACATTTCAACTTCACTTCTATTAAAGGCACAGTGTGTAGGATTTGTTGTTTTCAGCGACATCTAGTGGTTGAGTGGTTGAATCATCCCCCCTGGTCCTCCCCCCACCCCCACCCCCCCACGCTACGGCGTCTCTCAGGTGTCAAAAACCTTTGATAATTCCAACCGCGATGTCTACCAGCAGCTTCAGGGCTAGTGATGTTTCAAGTGGTAAGATTATGAGCTTTAATAAGTAAAATTATCCCAGCTACAATGACAGACAACAAATATTACATTTACAGTATTACAACTAAAACYGTTTTTGACGCCGCCACCGCAGTTTGTTCTTCATGAGCCTTCGTAGACAAGATGGCGGTGCAAGATGGCGGCTGCTTGTAGTGGCGACCTGCGACCATGGAGATATAAACAGCTTTTTATAAGGTAAAAATAATAAAACAAGGTCTTTGCAATGATTAGACAAGTTTTTTATTATTGTCATTAGTGATTATCTCAATTTCAGCTAAAAGAATTGACAAAATCCTACACACTGTGCCTTTAATGGAGTCACTTCGTCTTTATGTCGACCGCAGACGCTGGGTGTGTTTGACCCAAGCTGAAAACTTGATTTAAGGACGAATTGTCTGAGAACATCACTGGTCAAGAGATAAAGGTAAAAGCTGCTGGAAGATTGATCCTCAAATGGCACCAAGAGACCGATCCGCATCTCAGCCACTGTGATGCTTTCATGAGAAATCAGCTCAATATCAGTCCACAAAGTCTAACTAAAAACTGCCTTTTTGCTGCGAGAGGGGAGGAATTAAAGGAGAAGAAAGTGATAAAATGGTAGTTTGGATGAAGGGACTGAGACATTGGAGAGGAGGAAGWGAAACAGATGTGATGTGGAAGAAACAGGGAGGGATGTGAGGATGAGTGGGAGGCTGGAGCGGTCGCTGGCCCCCTCAGGGCTCCCGTCGATTCGTTCTTCCAGCAGGAAGTGTTTTAGGATCAATAAGAGGCGAGGTTCTCCRGAGGGAGACAAAGAGAGTGCTCCCACACAGCCCACAACTTGTTTTGTTTCATTAAGGTGCCCCCTCGCTCCGGTCTGGGTTCAAATTAATACAATTAAAGATTTTCTTTCTCTCTCCTCAACAACACAGTCAACGCTGCTGGAAAAAAAAAAAAAACAACTGAAGTCTTTGCATCACTTTATGGTTCATTGAAAATATCCAGGTTCAAAACGGAAATCACTCTGTTTTGTTCAGTTTTGTGTGTTTTTTCCCCCTCAGGTRAAATTGATTAACAGGCATCTGCAGAACTTGAAGAGGTAATTCAATCTTTGAACCAGGTGTGCTGGAGCAAGGAAACAAATTAAACGGGCAGAAATGAACAATAAATATCTTACCTGTTGTAGATAGCTCTGTGTTTGGAGAATATAGATCAGTTCTGACTGGATTTCTCAGATAACTAATCTGAGTGCAAACATTTATCGAGCAGAAGTTTCTGTAGTACATAGGGTGAGTTTCTTGTTTTGTGGGTGGAGTTTGTCCAAATCAAAGTTTAGCAAAACCGTGATTGACCAGGTAAACTCTAAATTTTATGACTAACAAATATWGATATTTAAATTTAAAAATGGCAATGTGTTTTGACAAAACCAAATAATTACATGATATGAATATCATCATATTTCTGTCAGGATTAACAAAAGAGGTGTAAATGTTTATTAAGATCTACTTTAACACTGGAGTTGTTTTAATTCGCTTTGCTTTTAGATAAGACTATTTTTATTTATATTTTTCATTTGATTGGTTATTAGCTGATGACATCATCACTTGCAGCTGAGGGAAATGTTGGGGAAAACAGGATTAAGGTGAAACGCTAAATGCAGAGCTCCTCCCCACCACCACCTGCTTTGTGGCCTGACCAGGTAATTGTTTTAGGCCCTTAACCCAACAAACTCAATCCTCTCAGAGCGGATTATAACGAGGCTAATCTCACTGCGCCACTTACTGAGAAGTGAGCATCACCGAGTCACACAAGAAGTCAACAAACAACATGCATGTAGGTGGAAGACCTTTCCATTTGTCTCCATGAAACCAACAAGTTTAACAGATTAAATCCTTTACATCATGAGAGGTTTGTTTAGATGCTGCAGACAGGAAACTCARACGTCTGTCTTCATGTTGATGATCTGTGATATGAACGCGTGAAATATTTAATCGACATCGAGTCTTCAGACGTTCAGACTCAAGCTTGTTGATTTGACCCTCCTGCCAAAAGCTGGTTTTGTTTCAGTTTGTGTGAAAACACACAGGGAGAGCTGAGCTGTCCGTCACTGCTGTCACTGTTTGTTTGGGTTTTTTAATCAGCTGCTCAGTGCATCTGCTGCTGGACCGAATTACAAACCGAGTGTGTGTTTCCACTGTCAATCTGCTGTGTGTGTGTGTGTGTGTGTGTGTGTGTGTGTGTGTGTGTGTGTGTG